CAGGGTAAACGTAGCAGAGGAATGGGTGTTGAGGGCGAGTAAGTACTGGGAGTCCACAGAGCTGGACGTCTGTGTGTGTGTGTGTGTGTGTGTGTGTGTGTCAGGGGTGGTGCATGGGAAAGAGTTTTGCAACAGCGGCCACAGAGGAGGGTGGGCCGGAGCTGCTCAGTTTTCAGTGCTAGGAGTGCCTGGAGCGTGTCCACTTGGCGCTCCCTAATCTTTAAGAGCCGCTCCGTGGCTTCGTTCTGGCACTCTGTGTTCTCCTTTTGGTCCCTCTTCTCGCTGTCCCGTCACTCATTCAACTCTTGTTTTTCGGCTGCAGAGTGCAGCATGACATCACGCAGAAGGTCCTCTCTACTTTTTCATGGCTGCTTTCTAATCCTGCGCAGCCGTTCAGCCGGTGATAAAAAAGAGGGAGGCTGGGCTCCCAAGGTCAGATTTGTGAAGCCAAAATGAAGCATTTTACAGAGGCACTATTGTTTACAACACAGAGACCACTGAATCAGTGTTTTAAAACACAGCCAGTACTCACACGCCTGTCACTTACTGGCTGACCCCAGGCAAGCACACATGAGCCACAAGACCCCCAAAATGGTGAGTAGCCACAGGGGCAGGGTAAATTTCTCTTCCCAGACCCTGCAATACACTGGGCACGTGGCTCTTGGGGAGAGCCAGCACTGGGGGGGGCTGATAATTGTTCCTGTCCCCACACTTTCCACAGGCTGTGCTCATTATGGAAGATATCTCGCTGCTGAGAGTGACCAGGGAATCAAGGGAGGCTCATCTCAACGAATGCAGCTTCCACCCAGGCCCTTATGCAACTAGCCTGTGTGCAGCAATGGTCCCCCACCCCCCAGTGATGGCCGAGTGGCAGGGGAATGTTACCCTTAGTCAGGGGTGAAAGTAACTTACAGGACTTACCGGTACTGCCGGAGTCCTGAGCGGGGCGTGGCCTCATCCAGAAGAGGCGGGGCCTCTCAAGATTTAAAGGCCCTGGGGCACCAGCCTGCGCCCCCCCCCCCCCCGCCACAGTTCCGGCAGCCGGGCTGGGGCCTGGATTTAAAGGGCTCGGAGCTCCCAGCCACTGCAGAGAGCCCAGAGCCCTTTAAATCCCCACCGCTGAAGCCGGTGCGGTCTGGTATGCCCTACTGACTCTTGCTGGTACGCCGGACCGGACCCGCTTACTTTCACCTCTGCCCTTAGTGGGGCAAGAAACAAAGCAGTTCTGCCAAAGAACCTGTGGCAGCCGATTGCCTAGTATCTCCACGAGAGTTTCCTGGAGATCTCTGAGGCAGATTCCTGTGAAGTGAGGGAGTCCATCAACACCCTGTTCTGCCGCTCTGCCTAGGCATGTGGTGGTACACGCATCGCACAGACACAAGGCAGCCTTCTGCAAATCCCTCCGGCAAGCTCAGCACACAGAAACAAGCCAGCCTTCTGCAACCATCCTCCCCCCAACAGCTCGCTTCAGTGATTCCCAAAATCAAAGCACTTACCAGGGGCCTCATCTCCTGTTTCTGCTTCGCCAAGTTCTGAACGCTGTTACTGGCTAGCCACCTCCAGGGTACACAAGAGCTCCTGGCTGCATGCACCTCTGAACAAGTCATCCTCTGGCTCTGGGTCCACCTCCCTCTCAGCAGCCTTGTCCAAGATTTCCTTCTCCTGGCTCAGTCCACTCTTGACTGGCACGGAAGCCCCTGAAGTATCCACAGGACTCTTCGCAGTGGAGGTGGGGTCACCACTGAGTATCATGTTGAGCTCTTTGTAGAACCAGCATCTTGTGGGTGCGGCTCTGGAGTGGCAGTTTGCCCCCCGCGCCTTGTGGTAGGTGTTCCACAGCTCCTTCACTTTGACCCTGCACTGCAATGTGTCCCGGTCATGACCCCTTTCTGTCATGAAGTGTGAAATCTGTCCGTAGGTATCATAATTCCTACAGCTGGAGCGCAGCTGGGACTGGACAGCCTCCTCTCCCCAAACGCTGATGAGGTCCAGCAGCTCGGCATTGCTCCAAGTAGGGGATCGCCTGGTGTGTGGAGCAGCCATGGTCACCTGGAAAGATGTGCTGAGACCACCGCATGCCGAGCAAACAGGAAGGGGACTTTCAAAATTCCCAAGGAATTTAAAGGATAGGGCTGAAGGTTGGTCACCTGAGGGCAGGGCAGTAGAGTTCTAATCGATGACCAGAAAGGCGAGAACAGGCGTGTGGGACACCTCCTGGAGGCAAATCACAGTGTTGTAATCGACCAGGGTGTCTGCGCTGGCACTGTGGTGCTCTAGCCCCAGTGCAGAAAGCTGTACGCCTCTTGTCGAGGTGGTTGTTTTACAGCACTTCAACTGCGCAGTTTCTGCGCACAAAGTGGCTTGGCAGTGTGTACACCTCGGGAGTTACAGCTCTCAAAGCTGCTTTACTGCGCAGAAACTTGCCAGCGTAAACAAGGCCTCAGATTGTCTTGAAAACTGCTGTGACTCATTGGAGTCTGGGGTTGGGTTAGTGGCCCAAATGTGAGGTCTTTAGAGCAAGGAATTAATGAGACACAAACACCCCTAAACAGTCAGGTGACATTAACATGTTGTGGTGATTATAACTATTTTGTGCACGCCTGGGGCTGAACAATGACTCTGATCCTCCCCAAACTGATGCCACCAGCTGGGATTGATCTCAGCACGTGTCTGGCCCCTTCAGGGTAACAGTGGTTGATACACAGGGACCTGTAGCCCAGAGCCTGGTCTAAGAGTGGGCGAATTGAGGAATTTCCTGCCCCCAGCACACGTGGAGGCAGGAGGCCTGACCCCTGAAGGTGCTGTCAGAGAGACCAGCAAGGGGACACAGGTGCAGCTAGTTCTGTAACCATGACATGAGGCTTAGGTCAGGTGTAGCGAACTCCTGGTCTCCATTCAAACACTGCTGCACACAAACCACCCTGACTTGCAAAATTTTATCGCCTCATCACCCTTGCCCTGAGGATTCCTTCTGGGACGTTGCCTTCACTTACCCCTCACCAAGCCTGGTGATCACTGGCATATCTGACA